CGTTTTCCTCGTGATCCTCAAATTTGTTCAGTGCCAGCTGCGAAGTCCGGCGTGTCTGTATCCATTACGCAAAGGTCATGACGTAGAATTTGGAATTTTTAGATTACACATGAAAAGAAAGCATCCTCACGAAGTTTCAGCTTCCCGTGTTGACCGGCTTTCGACATCGTTTCTTGCCAGAGAACTTAAATGTTTTCTTCCACACTTCTGCACACAAAAACTAAGTATACTTGCATATCGGTTTTAAAACAGGAGGATGGCACGTTGCGTGAGAATATGCTCCTAAAATTTCAGCTTGCTAGTTTTTCCGGTTGATGAGTTGAAAGTGGTGAAAAGACTTACTCGTCTCCGAACACACACGCGAATTACGCAAATATTTTTGTATTTGCATAACTTTGCAGAACGCGTAAAGAGGATAAACTGATTTCGGAGATTTCCAGGATGCAAGTTGCAATAAGCTGAAATACTTACCAGCCGATATTGCTCTGCTGAAGTCACTACGAGTTTTGAATGTGCGGGATAACCAACTTACTCATTTGCCTTCAGGTTTGCTTCATTTTATACAATTAATAATTATTGTCGAAGCATATTGTAGTACAAAGCATACTGAAGATATGTAAGGGCAAAAAAATTATTAAGAACGTAAGCTGAGAGAAAATTTGATAACAACAATGAGGCTGCTACGTATTCGACCTATGCAATTTGCCTGTCTTAATCTGGGGCTCTACTAATGCCCCAAATTGAAAATTTGGAAAAATTGCCAAAAGGCCGAATCCGCGTTAGATACACCTCTACATTTCGTCAAAGTATGTTTTGTCAACGATGAAGAAATATGTAAAATCAGAGATGATGAAATCCGGGGGAAGCAAACTTGCGAAACATAGATACGTAGCAGATTAACACTGATATTTATTCGAAGAACGAAACTGACTACATCTTGGCCGATGTTTAAAAGTTGAAGAGCACTGCCGATGAAGCCGAGACTCGCTACCATATGGGCGTCTTCTACGTTATTACTGCGACACGTGAAAAAATAAAATTCGATAGGCAGAGCAAGTTGCTTGCTTTCGACATTCGCCGGGCATTACACGTTTTTGATTAGCATCTGCAGAAATGTAAATGCCACTCTGTTGACCCTGAAGAGTTAGTGTTGGCTTGTGGCCCAGAACTGCCTGCCCTGATAGTTTTGGCATTCTTAAAATATGCCTGTATATGTTTCCTTGTAATTGCTTGCGTGAGTATGCCCGTATGTGTGAATATATATAATGTGTTCCTCGAATGATATGAGTTACGAAAGATATGAAGTCGAAATTTTCGAAATGTAGCTTCCTTCCCCGCACACAAAATCCAGCTGCGAGTAAAACTATTTTGAAAAAAGTTAGAGGCTTGTAGCTGTTTTCATTGCATATTTTTTCATATTCCGATTTTTTTTTTTGATTAGTTTAACGGAAATTTCAGAGTTTTCTCGATTGGAGTTGCGTGTACTGGACGTATCGCAAAATGAACTCAGCGAATTGCCAGCTGAACTGCGGCATATGTGTACACTGGTTGACCTGCGCATGAATGCTAATCCTCTAAATATGCCGCCTGCTAAACTTTGCTCAAAGGCATGTAAACTTTTCGTTTTGAGTTGACTGTGCGCACGCGATGTTTTAGCGTTTCTGCTGATACGTACTGTACCCCAGTAACATTAGGCTTCTTACGACGAATAGCGAAGATAAAAATTTTTCTGTTTTTTGATTGAAAATTTTATATCGGAGGGTCTTACAGAGCTGTGCTCGACATATAGAACCATCACTGACTTGAATTACCGACACTGACTACCCAGGCGATCTTGTAATTCTTGAAATTCTACTCTAGGCCCCATAGTAATTTTTTACTTCTCAATACAGTTAGCAATTTTTAGTCTACTTTAGTCCCTTGCAATCTTT